CCGGTGGCCGTGTCCTCGACGGTCACGGATGCGGGCGGGCTGCGCATGGTGTACCGTTGGAGCACCAGCGAGTCTTCGCCGGCGACGGTTTCCGCCTCGACGTCGTCGCAGTCGATCCCCTCCGCGTCCTCCAGCTCGTTCGGCTTCCAACGAGGCAACATACTCTTCACCTCGACGCCTCCGCCCAGGCCGAGTCCAGGGTTCTACACGATCCCCAGGTCGGGATCGTCGGGGATCGACGAGTCCGAGTCGTCCAGGGGCAGAGGAGTGTTCGACTCGGGATACAGCAGCTCGCCGCAGTCGTACTCGAGCCTGCCGTCCCGTCGTCCCGCTCCGCAGTGCAACCGCCGGTGCAAGAGCACCTGCAGCATCGTTCTGTCGGCCGTCGATGTCACCGGCGGCTCGAAGGAGACCTCCAGCAAGATCGTCAGCAGCGAGTCCACCAAACACTCGTACGACCACTCGTGGCGCCACCACTCGACGCAGCAGTCGCTGTTCTCCAGGCACCAGCAGTTCAGCACGGTGCCGGAAGTCTGCGAGGAAGAGGAAAGCGCGGCCACCGCTGTGACCGCGCAGTTCTCCAAGGACAAGGTTGCTAGCCAGACTACCACTACCGTTAGCAAGGACGCCTCGTCGCAGACCACGGACATCGAGTGTCGGGAGTCTTCTTCGACGGTCTACAGCAAGAGCAAGGTCAGGAGGAAAGCGGCCGCCGGGCTTTATCCGTTCGACGAGCAGAAGAAGAAGAAGGTGATCTTGAATCGGCGAGTCTTTCCGTTCGGGTCGGGTAGGACGTCGATGCTTGCGAAATGTTCCGCTGAATTCGACTGGCGAGGGAAGCTTTTCAACTGGCGCGTAACGATTTTGGTGAAAGTTATCTGGGACGTAGTTGTCGAGAGAATATTTGACTGTGTCTTCTCCTATCGGCAATATCCGCTTTGAGGGTTGAAGGCGTCTTTACGTCTCTGAGACTAGGGGATGTAGAAAAGAAATCTAAATTGTTCCCTTTGAAGCGGGCAAGTTAAAGAAAACTGAAAATTCTCTTGAGAACTACGTTTCACACGAGTCTCATCAAAATCGGCGTGGTTGAAGAGGTTCCCCTGTAACCATATCGTATTGTTCATAGAAAACTTGATTCACGATGCAAAGCCAGTTAATCGAACCTCGATTCCAAGTGTCGGAGTCCTACAGCTATCCCAGCTACTAGCGTCTGGTTCTACCGAACCGCGATAGAGGCAAGGAAGATCGGAGCATTACACGTTCCATTTGCTTTTAGCAAGAGAGCGAGTCGCCGACCGCAGCGTCCTCGGAGGCCACGAGCGTGGGCATCTCCGTGGACTCGGAGAAGTCGGATTCCTCGAAGGACGACAGCGTGAAACGGAAGTCCCGGACCGTCCACATCGACGTCTACTGCACGGGGACCGACGACGACGAGAACTCCGACACGTCGACGGAGAACGAGCGCGACACTCCGTCGACCGTCTTCGAGAATCCCGACGTCAGAGTGACGCACACGCAGGTGTCGGACGCAGTGCTGCCCAGAGGCTTCCAGGACGACAAGGCGTTCCTGACTAGAGCCACCGAGAGGAAATGCGACAGCTTCAGGCACGCGCCGATGCGGATGCCTTCCATAGCCAGCTCGAAGGGCTACGACAGCGACGACATGCTCAGCTCGCTGTACCCCTCGCAGTTCAGCTCCTACAGCGCGCTCAGAGACGTGGACTCTGCTCCCTGGTCAGCCGCGTCCTCCAACACCGGCTTCGCTTTCGACTACGATTCCGCGGCGGCCACCAGCTGCAAGGACACCTTCTCCGACATCGAGTCGCTGATCAACTCTAGGTCAGGCTTGACGCCCTGCGACAGCTTCGAATACGCCAGCTCCAGCGACCGCGAGAGGATCCGACGGATGGAGGAGATCTGGGCCAAGTCGCAGGAGCAGAAGAACTGGCCCGGAAAGACGGAGCAGAAGTATCTCCTGCAGAACAGGAAGATGAAGGAGTACCTGGAGAAGCACGAGATAGGTTGGTCGTCCGCCGAGAGCGGAGAGGAGTCGGACGAGAGCGGCACCGTCGGCTGGAGCTTCGTCTCTAGCGAGGAGAGCCGTAGGGTCGTCAAGAAGACTGCGAGTATCAGACGGAATAGCAGCAAAGAAGTCGCGCAGGGAATCGAGAAGAATGCGGAGAGTAGTTTGAAGGAGGATGAACCTGCAGAGAAGCTGCCGCAGGCGGATCACTCGGATTCGACGAGGAGCGATAGTATTCCTCAGGCTCATAGTCTGCGCGAGCAAATAGGCTTCTTCGAGTCGCAGAGCCCCTCCCCGTTCCCGTCGAAGGTGCCCTCGAGGGTCACGTCCCCGTTCATGACCCCGCAGGGCGAAAGAACCGATCATATTATAAAGGCTTCCATATTTGGGAGAGTGGTAAACGCTTTCCGGAAACCGGGCCACCATATCGGTCCCTCCAAGAACCCCTCGTGCTCCTGCGAGCACTGCAGGAGACACTTCGAGGAATTGAACTCGAGGGACCGTTCCAGTTCCATCAGCGAGTTCGAACGGCAAACTGGTTTCCGGTTGCAGAGCGAAAGGAAAATAGTCCGGCCGA